TGGCACCTTAGCCACTTGAGCCACAGGCACCAAGCCTCGACTCTTAATATTTGACATTATTTTCAGTTGGTCCTACTTGGCAGTTAGGGAGAAATTTCTCCATCCCACTGTGATGAACGTCAGAGGAAAAGATAATCTCATTTGTGCACTGAGGCTTTAATAAATAGTAAATTGAAAATCCAAAGAAAAACAACATTTTGTTTTTATTTCAAAATATGATGAAAAGAATATTTTCTATCAAATACCCAGTAAGTGGAAAGTTTCACTTCTCATTCCCACGAGCTCCCTATCTCCTGCCCTGGCTCTAAATAGAGGTCTGCACAGCAACGCAGTCACCAACACCTATTACGAGAAATGAGTGTGGAGCCTTAACCACACAGCTTCAAACAGATAGATGTCTGCCAGGTATGGTGGCTCACACCAATAATCCTAATACTCTGGGAGGCTGAGGCAGAGGTATTGCTTGAGCTCAGGAGTTTTAGATCAGCCTGAGCAAGAACGAGACCCCATCTCTTTAAAAAAAAAAAAAAAAAACTTGAGCATTGTGGCAGGCACTTGTATTCCAGCTACTTGGGAGGCTGAGGCAAGAGGATCACTTGAGCCCAAGAGTTTGAGGTTGCTGTGAGCTATGACATCATGGCACTCTACCAAGGGTGACAAAACGAGACTATGTCTAAAAAAAAAAAAAGATGTCTCTCTCTCTCTTCTCTTTGCAGGTGCTGAACTTAACCTACTTTGCATTAACGTGTTTGGAGAAAAGAAACAGGATCATTATTTCTGTTTCTGAAGTACTGTATTTTTGGAGTAAAATGCCAAGTAAAAGGAAGGCTGATTAAGAAAGAAAAAGCAGAAGCCCATTCTTCCTTTCATACAATCTTTTAGGGCGGCACCTGTGGTTCAAAGGAGTAAGGCACCAGCCCCATATGCCAGAGGTGGTGGGTCAAACCCAGCCCCAGCCAAAAACTGCAAAAAAAAAAAAAAATCTTTTCAGCTTCACCAGAAAACCTAAATGAAAGCACCTGGCATCCCCTACTATCAAAATTACACACTTGCAGTGGTGGAAGGTTCAGCAGGCTTTTCTCAATCGTCCTTGAATGACCAGGAGTTGAGGGGAATACTGAATGAACATGAAGAGGACCACTGGATGGCCGCACAACTGTGACTGCCCAGATCCTTAATAAAAATTGTCTTTGGCCAGGTATGTTAATCTCATTTATGGACTAAGGCTTTAGTCAACAAATAGCAATAATAGCTATAATCCTAGCTTCTTGGGAAGTTGAGGTGGAAGGATCACTTCATTTAAGTCCAGGAATCTGAGGCTGCAGTGAGCTATGACTGTACCACTGCACTCCAGCTCAGGTGACAATGTGAGACCCTGCCTCTTTAAAAAAAAAAAATCTGCCTTCCTCATGTCTTTTACCCTGGCACTTTTGAATAGAGGCCAAAAGGTATGGATCAAACTATCATGCTGAAGATGAGTAGCAGAGGAATAAAAAAATGTTTGCTTCAAAGCAGATGATGCTGTGGCAGTCATCTCTTGGATAGTAGGATTCCTGTACAACTTGTCTCAGCACCACAGGTGACAACTGTCTATTCAAAGTAGTCATTGAGGGAGAAGGGAAGAAATTATGAGTTAGAAGGCTTTGCTTCTCATAACTTTCATACTCAAGGGAAGAGTCAAGATAGGATCTGGCAGAGTCAGCAATAGGCTAGGAAACCCTCCAGCAGCACGGGCTGGGTGCACGAGTGAGTGCACCTGCATCACCATGGCCCCAGGACTCCGTGAGCACCAGCACAGGAGGAGACAGTCCTTCCTGTGCAGCACTCATAGGATATCACAGTATTCTGTGAACTTCCAGAAAAAAGAATTTAGTGTGTCTCTGAAAAACCCTGGTAGAGTATGAATGCTCAAACTTTCTCTCAATTGTGTATTTAATTTACCAACAGAAACATGAATCTCTAAGAATTCCATCTTCAAATGAAGCCAAATGTTTTCAACTACTTATTTCCAATCAAACTTCTAGCTAAACAATTGCAGTGTGACTTATAAACTAACCCAGAATTAATGCACATATCTATTAATCAGTTACTCTGCATGACCAACCTATGACCTACCATGCAGCTCTCCCATCTTTGCCTGGCCATGTCAGTCTCATGCATTCTGGTGAGAAGAAATTAATTAATTTACAAGGCAGAAAATTTCTTTTTCAGCACATCTATAAGAGTTAGGAGGTTCTCCATATGTTGAGCCAAAATCTCAGTGATTTTTTTCTTAGTCCTGCCTGTGGAGCTCTATGGAACACCTCATACCCGTCTGAACTGTAACTTACCTTCAGACGTTCAATGGCTTCTTCTCCTCCAGGGGTAGACATGATCCTCTCCTGAATGCTGGTCACAGACGTCAAGCCCACTTGACTATTGAGTGAGCAGGAAGATGGGGATGAAGTGAGGGACCCCATGGATGCTGTGGAAAAATGGCCAGGGCGTTGATTCTCAGAGGCTAGCAAGTACCTATGCTTATTGTTCTGAAAATCTTTCAGATCTGGGAGATAGAAAAAAAGGAAGGCAGAAAAAGTGGGAAAGAGGGAAAGGAGCAGAGGAAGAAAAAAAGACAGGAAGGAACATTGGTGTAAGAAAGGACAGCATTTAAGCACCAAGACAAAGACACGCTATAAAACAAAGACAGGATATAACTGTTTTAGATGGCAGTTCTAAAACACGTCTCTTTAATACTGATCCTAGAGCTTATCATTTCTTCATTGAGAAACTAAAAAATACCAATGCAGATTAACATTATATCTGGTAGGGCATAAGCAGAGCCTCTAAGGGATACTAATTAAGCATTCTCCCTAAACAGCTAACCTACATCCCTTCTATTCTTTCTTTCTTTTTTTTTTTTTTTTTTTTGGAGATAGGGTCTCACTCTGTTGCTGGGCTAGAGTGCAATGCCACCATTATAGGTAACAGCAACCTCAAAGTCCTGGGCTCAGCTTCACCAGTAGCTGGGACTACATGCATTTGTCAGAAAAATTTTCTATTTTCTATAGGGACGGAGGTCTCACCATGCTGCTCAGGCTGGACTTAATTCCTGGCTTCAAGTGATCCTCCCACCTCAGCCTCCCAAAGTGCAAGGTTTACAGGCATGAGCGACTGTGCCCCACTACGTTCCTTCTGTTCTTTCTATTGTTCCAAGTCACCAAGGCTGTCAGGTTTCCACTACTCTTAAATTCTACTAGTTTATAACATTAAGGGAAAAGCAACGATTATTTATTCGTCAAAAATAATCCGTATCAGACAGGTCCAGTGTTCGATGAAATTCAGCCAAAATTTCCCCCCAAAATGTTATAGTTAAAATAAAACTTTCAGCACACTCAGCAGGGTACTTTGTATAACATCTTAATATGCTAAAAGGTTTTTTTATAACACGCCTTAAATAAAAAGGAGAGGTATTTATAGAAATGACAGGAATTTCACTAAAGTCCTGGTTAAGATCTCAGGACCAACTGATGCCTCATGATTGCCTCAATGGGGAAGGACAACTAGGAAATGAATGAGATTCAGGGTCATTTCCATTCATCTATCAGAGCAAGCAAAAAATAAGGCTGATTATTTAAGTAAGGCCCTTACTTTGCCTAACACTATAATCAGGGGTCACTGGTAAGCCTGTTTCTTAGTATGAAATGCCAAGTTTGGGGGACATACTTCCATTTACTGTAACTTTTACTTTTAAACTTAGTACTGGTTAAAAAGCCACAAACAACAAATTAATTTGTTATTGTACTTTCCTTCATTAGTCATTCTTCTTAAGTAGATGCAAGTGGTACTCATGCATTCCAATTTTAAAATCAGCTCACTTTTAAAATTGAGAATATGTATTGCTTAAAATTCATATCAAAACAAGTATAAATCTTCCTTAAAGGAGCTGAGTCAATACAAATAGCTGGAGAAAGTATAATTAGTTCCCTCTGGGTCTATTCATCTCTACTATTTAATGGAAGCCAGTTTCTGAAGCCCTTTAAAGGCCACTGGTTGCTTCAAGACAGTTTGAAAACCACCATCTGCAAATACAGAACATACAGAAATAAGCAAAGAGGCATGTTTTAAGGCGGGACTGGGAACTGGTGCAAAAAATTAGCCACCAGGTAACAGCAGCAGGTGGGAAAGACCAGGATGGATGGAGCTTAAAAGGTCCAATGGACACATGCAAGCCCTAAGAGAATTAAGCTAAGTAGATCAAAATGGAAATTGAGAAGTCAGGGCGGCTTTTCTTCACGGATACAGAATTAAAGCTTAGTCATGCATGGTTTTTCAGGAAATGCCATAGCTGCTCAGAAAAGAGGTATAGGCAACAAGCTTGTAGAAGCACCTTGAGCACAAAAGCAAGAATAAGAAGGCATCTTTTCCATATCAGTATTGCTCAGCTTTGGAAATCTCAGACAGAGCTGTTCCAGTCCAAGAGTCACCTCAGTATTAGCACATTACAGGGCCTTCAAGGCCAAACCTTCTAACAACAGCCAGGGCTATATTTAATTTCTCCTATGTATTTCCTCACTGTCTACTACGCTCCTTACATGCCTGCTTGTAAAAATAAACAGATCTATAAGAATTTAGAAATTAATCTTGAAATCAAGGTTCTTCATTTCATCTAAGTTAACAATTCTCTGATCAATTACCTTAACAGGGTAAGAAATTCTTTTCTCGTTAACATAATGAGACATAGGGAAAGGATAATAAAGTTCACACGGTCTTTTATAAACTGTCCTCATTTCAAACACACATCTTAACACTTAACTTTTAACTTTTTTAAAGTTTAATTTGTAATTTATGAAAAGGAGGAAAGTGTTTATCTAACCATTAAGTAAGCTGAGGCAGAAGATATGAATACAACCCACTTAGTACAGGTGAGTGCCAGCACAACATTTACAGAGCTCCTCGCTCACAGAGAGTTTGGCCAACTCGATCGTCCTTAATTAGGTACACAAAGCCTCAGATTTATAATGCTAATTAAAAGGGATTCCTATATTAAATAAAAAGGGAACAACTCAAGAGGCAGAAAAACGAGTGTTAGTGTAATAATGATTAAAAGCAAGGGCTTGGAATCACACCATCCAACCCAACCAGGTGGAAACTGCGGGATCTCAGGCAAATGAATCACTCCAGGATATTGATAAATGAGCATAACCGAGCTTTTTAAGTCACTAACAATATCTTCAAGGTGCCTCAAACAAGGCATGGCATGTTACAAACACTCAGTACAAGTCATTGTCATTGCTATCACCATCATGTATGACTTGGGATGTAATTTAATCATCACATGGGGGCAAACTGAAGAGCAAAAGCAAGAGATTCCTAAGCCTCTCAACTTCACTCAAGCCAGTAACTGAAATCCAGCGAAGACTGCTTTGCTCAATGAAGAAGGGCAAAAATAGGATCAATTCTGATTCTAAGCTTTGCTCTGTCTGGGATTTCCCTGTTAGGACTGCGAGCATGCAAAGCTCATTCTGAGGCTGATCCAGCAGCGGCAGATTAGCAAGTCAGAGTACTGGAAAGAAACAATACGTGAAATACACACATTTGCCTCCACTTCCAGAGTAATCATCGATCAACGGATCAACTGAAGGCAAGCAGAGGGAAAATACAAGAAGGGTCAAAGTTTAGGTTTAGCAGTGACACAGAGAGGGAACAGAGCAGTATTTGGCATCTGGAAGATGAAAAAGTTAACACCTAGACTATATCATCATTTTTATAAACTGTATTCACGTAAACTGAGGCATTTATCAGTAAGAATTAGAAAAGGCCTTGAATATCTTATTGGAATTTCAAGGAATCTAGTATTAATTTTGCAATCAAAAATATACGATTTATTAAACAAGTCATATTCTACCATATTCTATTCTATTTGAAAATCTATTGAATTCACTTAAGAGAACTTCTGATTAAGCTTTTATATAGGCAGATCACTGAGTTTTCAAAAGTATATTTTAAGACAACATTGCAAAACAATCCCCTCTGGAAGTAGAATTCCTGAACTTGATAGAAATTGGACAAATTTTCCCCTTCACATATTCCTAAGGAGGGAAGACAGTCGACCATGTTACAGGAGGCAGGGGTGAATCTTCTCTGAAAGTAGACAGGAGTGGCAGGCTTCCTACACCACCTATTCCTGCCACTCCACTAATTCACAGTGACACATTCAACAACTTCAGATCCTTTTATCATGTGATTAATTTCTCAATAATAAGTTTAACATTACAAATTAACTTCACTCTTGATCTAAAACACAATTCTAATAAAAATACAAGTAGTGACGTGTTCACATTTTAGAAACTAATTTCATGAGTTTAAATGGATAGGCTGGTATACAATACAGAATGGAATCCAGAGATCATTTTCATTGGGTTTTTTAAGGAAAAAAAAATTCCACTATCATCTACCTTCATCAAGTTCCTTAAATCGACATTTATTTTAAACATAAGAACCCTGAAGAAGAAAGTGTTAGATTTTGGGTGGTGCCTGTGGCTCAAAGGAGTAGGGCACCGGCCCCACATGCCAGAGGTGGCGGGTTCAAACCCAGCCCCGGCCAAAAACTGCACAAAAAAAAAAGAAAGAAAGAAAGAAAGTAAGTATTAGATTTTGTGTTAATCCTTAATTCACTTACTATCAATAATGTCTCCCAGCCCCTGTGCACGAAGAAGGTCCTTCAGCCGTGTTACCTCCTCCTTTAATTCTCGAACCAGTTTGGCATTGGGATCCTCATTGATAACAGCATTGCATTTAATTTGCTTTGCACGATCTGCATATCTAGATTCAAAAGGAAAATTCATTCTTGACATTTCTCAGATATTCTACTTCTCATAAATAACCTACTATTATTTCTAAATCAAGCATCCTGTTTACATATTTTATGAGCCTTGATAAATAATACATTTGTATAAAGCTTTATAGTACCTTATAAAGATAAGGAAAAAGGCACAGATGAATTTAAGTGATTTGCCCAAGATCACAATGGAAATAAATACCAGAGAGAGGACTCAAACCCAATTTGTCAGACTATGGCATGTTCCCTCCATTATCAAGGGCCTTGGTTTTTGTTTTGTTTTTTTTTTTTGAGAGACAGTGTCTCACTTTGTTGCCCCCAGGTAAAATGCAGTGGCATCACCATACTTTTGGTCTCAGGCAATCCTCCTGCCTCAGCCTCCTGAGTAGCTGAGGGTACAGGCATGCCCCACTACACCCAGCTGATACATCTATTTATAGTAGAGAGACAGGGTCTACTTTTTGCTCACGCTGGTCTTAAACTCCTAAGCTCAAGCAATCCTCCTGCCTGGGACTCCTAGAGAGAATGCTAGGATTACAGGCATGGGCCACCACACCCAGCCCATATATCAGGTGTCTTTAATGGAAGAAGGATAGAAATTTCCAGATTAAAGGAATAGAACTTATACATATACATTCTGCTAATGAACATTCTGTTGGCAACTTTTTTTTTTTTTGGAGTTTTTGGCCGGGCTGGGTTTGAACCTGCCACCTCCAGTATATGGGGCCAGGGCCCCACTCCTTTGAGCCACCGGCACAGCCCTCTGTTGGCAAGTTTTTAACACTATGTGTACCTATAATTTTATTACTTCGCATGACTTCAGCATTTCTATAACGACAAACACCACAAAAAGGGGATAAGTCTTTTTATAAAAATAAATATTATAGGCTCAGCGCCTGTGGCTCAAGCAGCTAAGGCGCCAGCCACATACACCTAAGGTGGCGGGTTCAAATCCCCAGCCCGGGCCCGCCAAACAATGATGCCTGCAACCAAAAAATGGCCGGGCGCGGGCGCCTGTGGTCCCAGCTACTTAGGAAGCAGAGGCAGGAGACTCGCTTGAGCCCAGGAGTTGGAGGTTGCTCTGAGCTGTGACGCCATGGCACTCTACCCAGGGGGATAGCTTGAGGCTCTGTCTCAAAAAAAAAAAATAAATAAATAAATAAATAAATATTATAAGAACTGTTCACTATTATCTGCAAGTTATCCAAAATTCTAACTTGAGTAATTTTAACATCTTTCCTGCGAAAAAGTTCTGCTTTTCCCAATAAAACTAAAAATCATAAACAAGTACATTCCATTATGAGCCAAATCATTTTTTCCCTAAGTGTTCTCTGTTATGACAGGATGAGATCATTATATATATAAATAACTACCCACATGTATAAGAAAATCCACAGTATAATAAAACGACCTATGATGACAGTGTGGCCTATGTAGCTACTGAGATCATATGAGAGTACCTCAGAGTACTCAAAGTTTCATCATAGTTGATATCTGCTGGGCTCAGAGCAGCAACCATTGCAGTCCGAGAATTGCCACCTAAAAAAGATAAATCAGGAAAATCGCAAATCACACTCATTTTAAAAGAAAATTTTTATTAAATGTGTCAAATCTAATAATACAATTTCAGATCCTAAGATTTAACAAAAGACAAATTGTTTAAATGTCCCCATGGTACTTGGGTTCTATTCTTCTCACTTGGTCTTGAACCCACTCCAGTTGAGATCTCAGGCACTCTATCAAAACTGCCCTTAGCAATTTCAAAGTCCCTGGTGATGGGGATTAAGCCCAAAAGTCCATTCTCTGCCCCTTCTTTCTATTAGTAACATTGGGAATAGCTGGTCACTCTCTCTCTTTCCTAAGAAAGAGCAGTGAATGACCAACAATGACCTGAAGGTCTGAAAATATCAGCAATGAGGAGTAAGGATTGACTGACAATCCTCAGAGGGGAACGGGGTTTAGAAGGAGCATGGGGTTTCAAAAGACTTCTAAAAAGAAGGAGTTTGAAGCAAGTGTGGGAGTCAGAAAGACAACTACTACCAGTTCATGCCCAAAAGTATATGAGATATGAGAAGGATACTCTGGTTTAAAAGTAAGTGAATCTAACCAGCTATAATCAGGAGTAAAAATGAAAACAGACAAGGAGCACTCAAATTAGTAGCATGAGTCTCTAGAGATTATTCTTCTCCAAAACAGACACGGAACAATTAATTACAAAAGATAATTAGTAAACAGTTGTTTGGCTTTTTGTTTTGAGACAGAGTCTTACTCTGTCCCGTGGGTAGAGTGCTGTGGCATCACAGCTCACAGCAATCTCAAATTCTTGGGCTCAAGTGATCCTCTTGCCTCAGCCTCCAAATTAGCTGGGATTACAGGCACCCGCCACAACACCCTGCTAATAATCAGTAAACAGTTTTAAAAAGAGAATTACGAAGTCAATTTTCACCAGTAGTCAACATACCTAGATTTTCTCTAAGGAGCCAAGTAAGTACAGAATCTCTGTAAGGAATAAAATCAGTTTTCTTCTTCTTTTTACTCTGTTAAAGAGAAAGGAATAGACTTAGCATTGTAGGGGGAAAATTCACATGAAAGGCAAATCAGTCTAAAATTCCCAAACAAATCAAATTACATACAACCCCATCAATATTAAAATTTATCATGCACAGTTTCAATTCTTCACAATTACTTTTTAAAAGTAAACAGTAATTTTTACTTTTACATTTTATTTTGAAAACTTTGTAACATACACAACAGTTGAGAGAATGGTATAATAAGCTACCATATACTCCTTATGCAGCTTTAACTAATAATCTTTTAGTTATTTCCCACTTTTCTATACTATTTTTCTCCTGAATCTTTTTGTTTTTTGGTTTTTTGGAGGCAGAGTCTTGCAGTATTGCCCAGGCTATAGTATAGTGGCTCAATCAAAGCTCACAGCAACCTCAAACTCCTGGGCTCAAGTGATCCTCCTGCCTCAGCCTCCCCTCCTCATTTCAGCTGTTTGGATTCACTGCCTCCCAAAGCGCTGACATTCCACATGTGAGCTGCTGCACTGGCCTGTGAAGTGAATCATTTGAATAAGTTGCCGACATCATGTCCATTTACCATTTCATTACTTAATGAATTTATATGGCTAACCAGGCCGGGCACAGTGGCTCACGCCTATAATCCTAGCACTCCGGGAGGCAGAGGAGGGTGGATTGCTTGAGCTCATGAGTTCGAGACAAGCCTGAGCAAAAGCAAGACCCTGTCTCTACTAAAAATAGAAAAAACTGAGGCAAGAGGATCACTTGACCCCAAGAGTTGGAGGTTTCTGTGAGCTATGATGCCACAGCACTCTACCCAGGGCAACACCTTGAGACTCTGTCTCAAAAAAAAATAAAGAAAGAAAGAATTTATATGACTAACCACCAAATAATGAAGAAGACGGCTGCATATCTAGCAACTTTTGCAAACTTATGCTCACTTACTTTCTTTGAAAGGAAATTCTGCCAAAACCATTAGAGCAAAGAGCTAAAAGTAAAAAGATCTAAGAAAGTGAGACTTATAAACATGACTAGGTAATTTTTCTATTAAATCTACTCAGACTATTCTCTTCATGACCCTTCTCATTACCACAGGATAAAGCAAAAAGTACCATGAAAAGGCAGTACAGAAACGGAAAAAAATTATATTCTCTTACAGTAAAAATTAATGCAAATGCTTTGCAGATAAAAGCTACTCAAATCTGCTGGTGGACTACTGTACTGTGATGCCTTAACAAGCTACTAAGGCAAAGCCAAGGCTTTCTCAGAAACATCACCCCTTCAATCTACAGCTTTATAATTCATTCCTAGTGTAACCCAAGGTTAAACTAAGGATAATCTACTATTTACATAAGCATAGGTATTCAGAAAAAGAGTCCTAAGTGGCTGACCTCTGGTTTGAGGAAAAGGAATAGGCAAGCGGTACTTTAATTCCATCTGTTATCACAAAGGTCCACACCATCCCAACACACTCTACCCACAGATGCACATTTCACCAACTAGAAAGTTATTTCCAACAACAGGTTCAATTTTAAACTGCACTGAGTTCTAGAGAGAATTAGCCTTTCCATCAGTCACATGTTAGTGGAACAAACTTTACATTTGTACTTCACTACAAAATCCTCAAGACCTAAGCCCTCGGTTTATACTCCTGTAGTTCCCAAACATACTATTTACCCATGGTTAGTACTGAAAATGTACGATTTAAAATACGTTAATTACAAAGACCACAAACAGTAATGTAAAAACAAGTAGTATCAGTCTGCCAAAAATGTTCTATTTTCATTTCTGTCAATTAGATTAAGATGGAATAGCTAAATTAAGAAGCATAAATAGAATTCAATCCCTTCCATTAGAAAATAACCCCAAATTTTACCCACGTCTTTCCTATTTGCTCTCTTATAGAACTCATCTTATTTGTTCTCACATTCATACATTCTTCGAAAACAAATGTGCTTCAGTAGTTACGTAAAAAGCATTATTTAGATCATTGACTTCTTTAGAAAGAAATACTGTTAAGTGTAGATGGTGATAAGCCTGATTCCTCCCCAGTGGAAATAACAATATATCTAATTTACTAAAAATTATGCTCGTTATATAAAAACTTAGATTCAAAGTACTAAACTGGATCTTACAAAACTGAGGATAAAAAATAGTTTGCGAATTATTGTGACACAAAGCAATGTGGATTATACACAGATACTTTACCAAGAAAGAACAGCCTAATAAACATTCATAAACTGTTAAACTTTCCGTGATTCATAATAGATGTTAATAGATAAGCAAACAGGACAAGTTAGAATGATGAGTACATTTTTGTTTTGTTTTGCTTTGTTCTGAGATAGCGTCACTATCTTGCCATGGGTAGAGTACCGTGACATCACTGCTCACAGCAACTTCAAACTCTTGGGCTTAAGCGATTCTGTTGCCTCAGCCTCCCAAGCAGCTGGGACTACAGGCAACCGCCACAGCGCCCAGCTACAGTATAAGATATTTCAATGTAAATACTACCTCTATCCCCAATTTTACTCCTATGATTCATAACAAATGGTTAGGTGTTCTAAATATTACTCAAGCAAAGGAGTACTAATGAACTTTAGAGTGTTTACGAAGAAAAATAAGGAAGAGAAAAATCTATAGAATCTGGGTAAAAATCTATGATATGTTTTTGAGATGCAGTTAAGAGTTTAACTTGACTCTACAGCCTTTACTTTATGTAGAACCAAAAAGAAAAAAATGTTTTTAATGTTTAAATTATCCATGAACTTTCCCAGTGAAAAACAAGTAAAATAATATAAAGAAGTTTTAGAAAATATACACTAATAATTTCAAGAAGCCAGCTATGTTTTAGAATGGTATCCTTAAAACATTTATTGTCCTTTCAAATGGTTTTAAAATCGTCAAGATCACTAGGAGAAACAGTATGAAGATAATGTGAAAACATCCTCAAATATCTCTTACTCCTTTATTCTTAATTTCTTCATATTCTCTAAATTAACTTTGGTGTGAAGTCTCATGATTCATGGTCACCCTAAACAGCCATTCTAAATTCTAGAACAGGCGTCCTCAAACTACAGCCCGTGGGCCACAGGCAGCCCTCCTAGGACAATTATCTGGCCTGTGGAGTGTTTTTGCCACTGCTGCCTGTCCTGCTGAGCTGCTGACTCGTCCTGGGGCCCACAGTCCAGCCCTCCAACAGTCTGAGGGACAGTGAACTGGCCCCCTGTTTAAAAAGTTTGAGGAACCCTGTTTTAGAGCCAGAAAACAAATGACAGAAAGATTCTGAAGGCTCCATTCCTAGTTAGGCCTCCATACATCCTGCTGAGAATTTAAAACCATAACAGTCGATTCTATAGCTAGTTCATCTCTACCCATCTCCACCATACCTTGCTGGTGCAGTTATCCTACGGATGAAAGCATTTAAAGGAAAAAACAAGAACACAGGATAAGCCTCTAAATAGAAAACAATATTTTGTTTAAATTTTAAGTCACAGATCAGAGATGAGCAAGAGAACATTTCATTCTTTTCAGCAATTTAAATGAGGAATTAAACTAGAGCACATAATTACTCAGCTTCTAATCTAAATAATGAAATCCCTTATATAAAAATTGTTTAAGCTTTTATGTCCCACTGTTAATTAAGGAATAGAAAAAAAAGAACTGCACCCAAACCTCCACAGTTGACTCCTTCCCTAGACTGACCATCTCCTTAAGTTGACCTAATTTTCGTAGACCAGACACACACCACATGTACAGTTCAGTATAGGAGGCCCAGTTTCCTATGTTGACCATCTCTGTATGTTGGCCATTTTGTTACAGTCCCTTCGGTGATCAACTTAACAAAGGTTTTACAGTATTTGAAAAAAATACTGTTGGTCCCAAAATCAACAACATTCACCAAAGTCAAATACTCAAAAGAGTCTTTAGAAAAGACTGTGTCGGAAAACAAGGTTTCTGTGAGAGAGATGCAGTAAGAGAGCGTCAGCGGCATAATCAGCGCCCGGTGCTTACGTAAAATAAGGCTCAAAAAATGAGTCAGATCTCAGTCTTTGCAAGCTTTTACACATCTACTTTTATTCCCCTTAATCTCTTTTATTTTCAGGACAAAGTCAAAATGTGTTATACCCAGTATCTTACCTGAAAAGCTCTAAAGGAAGAAAGGTAAGGTTACACAGAAAAGACCAGTAAAGGACAGCCTCATATACCGTCATAAAATATCATCCAATCAATTTGCTCAGCAGACAAATTCCTCCTTATAATTGAAGTATAAAACTTACCACCTCTGCCAAAGCTGAAATGACTTTGCCCAAAGTTGTAAGAGACTTATTAATATTTGCTCCTTCCTAAAAGGAAATAACAAACATGAATGAATTATGATTCAGTTCTACCACTGCCAAATTATATAGAATATAAAATGCATTTGCCATATTGTTTTTTAAGATAGTTTTATTTTATGTATGTCCCAATTAATTGAGGCAAATAGTATAAGCAAGTACGAATTATATTCCTATTTATACTAAAAAGTAATTTGTTTCTATGAAATAGCCTATTTATTTATGACAAGTTCTACTTTAGACAATCTTTCCTCTCTCCACATGATAACACGTTTGGACCATAAGCCTAACTCACAGCCTAAAGCATCTTCAAGAAATTTGTGTTCCAAAACCTTACAGACGCAGCTTTCTTCCTACAACTCACCAATATGAAAGTTCTGCTCTTGTGAAGTAGTACTTCTACCAAAGTCCATGCTTGTTCTCACCTCTGGGTATTATGTGTACTATTCCCATTGCTGTCTCTGATTTCCATCCTAATAAATTCTGCCTGTTCTTCAAAAATGCAATTCAACCCTGTAACTTTATCATGAAGTCCTCCCTGACTATTCTTGTTATACAACTTATTGTTCCATTGAAGTCAGATTAGGAATTAGCAAATTTTTTCTTTAAAAGGTCAGATAAAAATTATTTTAGGTTTTGTGGGCCATATGATCTCTGTCACAACTCTGCCACTGCAGTGCCAAAGCAGCCAGAGAGGATACATAAAGGAATGGATGGGTGCAGCTATGCCTCAATAAAGCTTTATTTACAAAAACAAATGGTGGGCTGGATTTGGCCCACTTGCCATAGTTTGCTGACTCATCTTACAGAACATTTATTGACTAGGCCACTTATCTGGTAAAATAAATACCTTTAATCGAGTCCCTTTGGCACCAGTTGAATCAGCACGTTCACTTCCCGCTAGATCCACCAAGCTGATTTTACTGACCTGATAAAGAACAATAACATGAGGGCAATTCCAAAATAAGCAAAGCAGTAGCAAAACAGTGACGGGTTCAAACGCAGCTCGGGCCAAAAAAAAAAGAAAATATTTTAAAAGATTAAGGTATGGACCTGTCTCTAAAAAAAATTAAAAATAAGTAATTAGCCAGGTATGTTGGTACACACCTATTTACAAGTCCTAGCTACTGGGGAGCCCAGGAGGCTGAAATGACAGTGAGCTGTGTGCACACCACTGCACTCCAGCTTGAGTAAGAGTATGAGACCCTGTCTCTTTAAAAAAAGAAAGAAAGAAAAAAAGAAACCAAAATGTGGGCTTGGCGCTGGTAGCACAGTGGTAGCACATTGGTTATGGCACCAGCCACATACACCAACCAAGGCTGGCAGGTTTGAACTCAGTGTAGGCCAGCTAAACAACAATGACAAGTGCAATCAAAAAATAGCTGGACATTGTCGCAGGCGGCTATAGTCCTAGGTACTTGGGAGGGTGAGGCAAGAGAATCGCGTAAACCCAAGAGTTTGAGGTTGCTGTGAGCTGTGACCACCATGGCACTCTACCGAGCACGACATAGTGAAACTCTGTGTAAAAAAAAAAAGCAAATGTGGAGACAACCTAAATGCCCACCAACCCAGGAAGCTGTGATATACATACACCTTGGAATACTATTCAGCCATTTAAAAAGATGGAGACTTGGGTGGTGCCTGTGGCTCAGCTGGTAGGGCACCAGCCCCATATATGGAGGGTGGCAGGTTCAAACCCAGCCCCGGCCAAACTGCGACAAAAAAATGGCTGGGCATTGTGGCAGGCGCCTGTAGTCCCAGCTACTTGGGAGACTAAGGCAAGAGAATCACCTAAGCCCAGGAATTGGACGCTGCTATGAGCTATGTAACACCACGGCATTCTACTGAGGGCAATAAAGTGAGACTCTGTCTCCAAAAAAAAAATAAAATGTAAGGGTGGCACCTGTGGCTCAAAAAGGTAGGGCACCGGTCCCATATGCTGCAGGTGGCAGGTTCAAACCCAGCCCCACCCAATAACTGCAAAAAAAAAAAAGAGACAAATGAATAAATATTTTTTTTAAACCTTATGAGCTTGTTGCAGATGGGGAAACTGAGGCATAAAGAGGTCGAGTAATTTGTTCAAGGTAATAGCTCAGAAGTGGCAGAATCAGGATTCAAAGCAAGCAGTCTAATTCCAAAGTCTATAATATTACTAGTGAATAAAATGAGAAATTAATAAGCAAAGTTATTTGAAGCACATGAGAATGATTATGGAGTTATTTTTTAGGAATAAAACATATCTGCCTCATCATCTACCTGAACATTTAATCCCATAGTAACATTATTTATCAGAGCTCAAAGAAAGAAAAATGGAATATACACACCAGAGGCTAATAACTGAAAGGTTCTTTCTTCCTCCCACAAAACTTTTTTTTTGTAGAGATAGAGTTTCACATTATCGCCCTCGGTAGAGTGCTGTAGTATCACAGCTCACAACAACCTTCCAGCTCCTAGGCTTAGGTGAGACTCTTGCCTCAGCCTCCCACAAAACTATTTAATTGTCTTGCAGAGTAGTTTTTGAGATTTGACTGTTTTTTCTTTTTTTTTCTTTGAGACAGAGTCTCACTATGTTGCCCTTGGTAGAGTGCCATGGTGTCACAGCTCACAGCAACCTTCAACTCTTAGGCTTAAGCTATTCTCTTGCCTTAGGATCCCAAATAGATGGGACTACAGGCGCCCACCACAATGCCTGGCTATTTTTTGGTTGTATTGTCATTGTTGTTTGGCAGGCCCAGGCTGGATTCAAAACTGCCAGCTCCCACGTATGTGGCTGGTGCCCTAGCCGCTGAGCTACAGGTTCTGAGCCTTTTTTTTAATTTTTATTTTTTTATTTTTTAAAGGTTTTTACAGACAGGGTCTCACTCTGTCACCCAGGCTGGAGTGCAGTGATATGATCATACCTCACTAAAGCCTTGAACTCCCGCACTCAAGAGATCCTCCTACCTGAGCTTTTCAAGTAGCTGGACCACAGGCACATGCTACCACACCCAGTAAATTTTTCTTACTTAGTAGAGACCAAGTCTTGCTGTGTTCCCCAGACTGGTCTCAAACTCCTGACTTCAGGCAATCATCCTGCCTCAGCCTCTCAAAGTAATGGAATTATAAGCATGGATCACCACACTAGGCCTACTTTTTCCTTAATTCTATTCTTTATTTAAGGACTCATGCTGCAAACTGGTGTAAAGTCAAAGAAAAATGATATCACCTCCATTAAGTAAAAGAGCAACCTTCTTTCCTTCTACAAAATGCAGAGGATAGCAAAAAGGATTTCTCAAAATCGTTATTCTTCACAACTCAATCCCAGAGACTGCAGTTCTCCTACCTTCTCAGTGGAAAGGTTAGTCTCAGCATCATGTTTCTTCTGGGTGAAAACAATGGTAAACACAGCGTGGGAACGGCTACTGGTTTCATTCATGTTGGTCGCTGCCACTGTCCTAAATAAACATAAAGGTGACAACATGAAAATAGAATTCTTAGATGAGAGTTAAAATGGAGAGCAGACTCCACGTCATAAGCATAACAATCACAAGCAATAGTCTGAAACTTATTCACAAATTGCGAGAGTGTCACTCATATAATTGCTCTAGCTCAATACTGCCTTATTTGTGAGCTGGGCTAGGTGGCTCATACCTGTAACCCTAGCACTCTGGGAGGCCAAGGCAGGTGGTTTGCTTGAGCTCAGGAGTTCAAGACCAGACTGAGCAAAAGTGAGACCCCATTTCTACTGAAAATAGAAAAATTAGCTGGGTATCATAGCAGGCGCCTATAGTCCCAGCTACTTGCGAGGCTGAGGCAAGAGGATCTGTTCTGTGGGTGACAGAGTGAGCCTCTTGTTTCAAAAAAACAAACCAACAAACAAAAAAAATCTGTGGGCTCCCCAGGTTACCTTCCAACTCCAAAGGCACCCTATCAGAACTGTTTTTTATATTCCAGCTATTCCTTTAGAAACCACCGATACACGTAATTTCTATTCTTTATTGGCGCTCATTTATTTCAGAATTAATTACTACTACAGCCACTTTCATACATGATGACTAACATTCTACCATGATTTGATCAAAACCTATGAGTAAAACTTAACCAAAGTTCCAACATATTTTAGCAATACACTGTTTTGATGAGAAGAAAGATGTTCAGTGTGCTGAATCCCTCACCCCTCCTGCATAGCCAAAGGAGCACAATTAAAGCAACATCCATCTCTATAAATATGGCCTCAAATCCTAACTGGGAACAATGGCTCTCAAAATGTGCCAAGACCTCAGTCATTCGTCTATTTCCTCCCGTACCTGGCTTTGTTCCCAGCATCCATGAGGTCAGCGATGTCTGTGTACGAAGTGACTGCCAGCTTTGACAGATCCTCTACGTAGGGTCCCAGAAGGGGGTGTTCACGAACACGCAAATTACCTTTGTTTTTTGGATTAAGCAAATCTCTCACTCTCTCACAGTAAATTTCCATGTAGCTCACCTAGGAACAAATTATTAAAGTAGATTACAAGATTCAAAAAAGAAATTACATACAGTAAAAAGATTTCTTATTAAAAGCCCCATCATTAGAAATTAGCAACCTTTACAAAGAGAAATGCTATAGTTCTAGACCCTTTTATTCTACTAACAATATGCACAGATTTCACACTACGTAGGTTACAGCCAGCCTTCTAACCTCAGAGTTTTACGTCTAATGCATAGTGGCTGCTACTTACCTTAGGAAAATAACATATTTTAGTAGCAATCAGTTGTCAGTGTTTTTTAAATGCACACTGTTGTCAGTCATCAGGCTTTTACACTAAGGTTACTCCAAGAGCTTGGAAATAAGACTTCTATCCAAAGTTACAACCAAGGTACAATATCAATATTCCGGAGCAAGGACGCTGACTTTAATTCTTTAAGACTGGCCACTTTGCTACTAACTATGAACAATGTATGCACCAGAAGGGGAGGGGGTTGGTCATCAAGGAAGCTAATAGGTGACAGGAATTTTTTTTAATTTCATAAATTTCCATTCCATCAACAGAACCATTCTATTTTTCTTTTTCTTTCTTTTTTTTTTTTTTGAGACAGAGTCTCACTTTGTCACCCTCAGTAGAGTGCCACAGTGTCATAGCTCACAGCAACTCAAACTGAGTACCTGGGAATACAAGCACCTGCCACAACTCCCAGCTATTTCTAGAGGCAAGGTCTCACTGTGGCTTAGGCTGGTCTTGAACTCCTTAGCTCAAGCAATCCACTCACCTTGGCCTCCCAGAGTGCTGGGATTATAGGTGTAAGCCACTGTGCCCAGCCCAGCAGAACCATTCTTATCATAATAATGAATGCATCAGGCTATCATTTCTTAATCAAAGCAAGTAAACATTTAATTTATCAAATCAACTCCCCTCCTTATAATTCCATGCTCACCAAACAACAGGATTCCAATACAGGGTAGCCCCAAAGTTACCCATAAAGTCACCATACATAGGGAAAATGGGAAACTAGGTAAATGTACCTTATTTACACAACATTCATTATAAAATTTTACAAAGAGGTGGCCAACATGTAGAGAATATTTTAGAAATTTTCTACAAAACTCTATAATGAATATTTTGTACATAAAGGTACATTTAGCTATAATTTCCCATTTTCCCTATGTATGGCCACCTATGGGACACCCTGTAGAGGTCTGTCTATGAAAAGGTTAATATACTAGTCACCAGTCCTGTAAATGTGAGTATTCTGGCCTGGGTAATAGTTACTTTTCATGGGAAAATAACAAACCAACATGTTGGTTTTATAACATCAGCCAAAGGAGCTTTACCCGAGTCTGACTCTGAAGGATGGTTCTACTCCTGACATATCTATAAAACTAGATTTCTAAGCAAACAAGCTCTGAACTGGGGTAAATTCACCACAACCGGCTGTATTATGGGATCTCAGGGGAAGCAGATCCTTCTGTGTCACTGAGCCTTTCAAGCATACAGTGTAACTTCTGCATTGCTCAACTTTAAACTTCTATAAATTTCCAGAGTGTTTGAAATAAAACCTTATCTTTAATTCTGCTATCATTTTTTTTCATTCAGTCTCTGATCTGACTGAATTTTTACAAGATATTTTAAAACCAGTTTAAAAAGTTGAGAACTTTAAAAGATGAAGTAATAGATCTTCAATATTATGAGAGTAAGCTAAGAGGACAACAAATATCTTTTTTGAAGCAAGTTTTCCTAGAAAGTGAAATAGTACTTTCATCACTTTTGTGTACTTAAATTTGCACAAACAATCTTGAATCCCAGGAAGATACTACATCTTGGGGAACACTTGGCCATTTTCAGATAGGTGTGAGACTAATAATCTGGGTAACGGTCACATGCTCCATTCCGTATTCTCTGGTATGTGAATCCACCCGAAGGTACCACCAGCCTTTTACTTCTGTACCAACCATTCCAGACCCCACTTGGCAGAATCAATTCACTAAGCACCATTCTCTTCCAGGCACTTTTCTGGACACTTGGCAAACATCACTAAATAAAACAGACAAAAATCCCTGCCCCACCAAGCTTATGATTCTAGTGAAGGAACCTGAAAATAAGCCAACATAAAAAATAGGTAACTTTCCATGTTAGAATATGAGAAGTTCTTTGGAAAACAGAAAGTAGAACAGGGTGAGGGAGATAAGGAGTGCTAGAGTAGAGAGCATGTGGTATGATTTTAAAAGCTGGGCAAGGTCAGCAAGAGCGAGAGTTGAGCAGATTTGAAGGAGGTGAGGAATTCAGATATCCAGGAGGAGAACATGTCAGGCAGAAGGAAAAGTAAATGTAAGTCTCTGAGGCAAAAATAGTTCTGGTGTGTTCTAGAAATAGCAAAAAAAGCCAGTGTGGTGGAGCAGAATAAAAAGGAAGAGAAGTGAGAGAGGAGTTAGAGAGGTCCAGCCACGTGGAAGGAACAGCAGTGCCCGTGAGGATCTACGCTTTACTCCAAGCCAACCTGTCAACTATGACTCATGTAAAAGAAAATGGCATCTTCTTTGATTAACTATAAGCTCAAAAATTCTATCACCTGCTTCAAAAAGCAATAGTAATGAGACAAACTATTTAGAAAATTCATTTTAACACAAAATATTCTTAGAGCAGCACATTTCTCTTTGGGTATATGGTAGTCCCAAGACAGAAGTTTAAAATTTATAAATCTGTCAATACTTTATAGGTTAAAAAATAAAAGCAACTAAGTGGATCAACTAGGAATTGTGCAAGTCCTACAGAAAATCAAAACACACACTAGGAAAAAAAAGAGACCCTAGAATTTGCTTTCAAAGCAGCTTAATTTTTCAGAACATCAGGCTCATGATTAATAGAATACTTTAATAACTTGAGTTACTATGAATGAAACTGAATATAGGAAAGGGGCGTGTGTGTGTGTGTGTAAAAGAACAACTTCATAAAGCACACACAAAAAAGAGGGAATGTTTATCAAATAAACTAATGTGTACAGAGTAATCCTATAACCCTTTTCCTGAAGCAGCTAGGGTGAACACTGGAAATAGAATAATTTCCCAAGCTTATAAGCAATTAATAAGGGGCGGGTGGGGATTTGACTACATATATATTTAAAACATGTACCTGACAAAAATCATTATTAACTGTATTAAAGGGGACAAGTTCATATATAAATTTAAAAAACACTGGATTCCCAAAATGTAAACAGGTACATGCATAATTTACAACACATTCGACCACACTAATAATCACAGACATTCAAATTTAAGTTAAGAGAAAAATTCCCCCATGGATCCATGAATGGATTAACAAATGAAAATACTAACTTCATTTGGTTGAAGGGCAAGGGCATACTAGGTGCTTATATTCTCCTGGTAGAACTGAAAATTGATTATAACCCTTCTTTCTAAAAAGCCATTTGGCAATTTCAACATATTACTTAACAACTAAGATATACACAAAAAGACAGGTAATAACCAAAAATAAATACACAGACATATAAACAAAGATGTAACACTATTCATCATAACCGAACATAGAAATAGCCTAAAAGTACAAAATTAAGGGAATGGTTAAGTGATCTGTAGCACAGTCATAATTTAAACCCATTTAAAAGTAATGATCAAACCACTGGTAGACAACCTGCTAAAGAAACGAAAAAGTAACATTTGAGGGGCCTCTGGCTTCAACTCACGGCTAGACTCACCTCTACAGAGTAGGACATTTCTTCATTACAGTTGTCATTGATTTTCTCAAACAGCTCTTCACATAACTGGAAAGCAGAGAAGAGGCGTAAAGAGCACCAATGAGAGACAGTTACGTTATCCTGCCTGCAAAGTCAATCAGGCCCTCTCCCTCCCAAGACTCGGACGTCATCAACACCACCAAGGTACCAGCGGTACCTGGAATAAAATACAGTCTTGCGCTGCATAACAAAACCAGTCATTGACAGACCATGAGTACATAATGGTCCCAAAAAACTCCTATTGCCTACTCATGTTTTCATGATCCTGACCCTATGTGGGCCTGGGCTAATGTATGTTGTCTATGTCTTAGTTTTTAACAAAAAAGTTTTAAAAGCAAAATAAAATATGTGAAAATAAAAGGAACAGAAAAACAGAATAAGGATAAAAAGAAAAAAAAAATTTTTTTTTTTTGAGACAGAGCCTCAAGCTGTCGCCCTGGGTAAAGTGCTATGGCATCACAGCTCACAGCAACCTCCAACTCCTGG